GATGTAATGCAAAACAACAAAGCAACAGCTGGTAAATTCCCAGCTTTCTAGCACAGTCACAGGTCATCCCATTGTAAAACATATCGTTCTAACCCTTATCATTTGTTCACAAGGCAACATAATCCAGGGAGTGGCCTCAGTCATTGCATTGATTTAAAAAAGAACATCTTGTAGCCAGCAGCCATTTGAAGACACGCTGGGTTCTGTTTTGTTTCCTGTTGCTGGGAACACTAAAAAAAAAGGTATCACAGCCATAAGAGCTAACAATAAGAATTAACCCCATGCAGAAGACCATCAGTGGGGATGGAGCCTACTCATGCTGTAGTAGTGGTATGACAAAGAATCCCCTTCTTTGTAAGCAACAGTGCGCAACAGCTACTGCTGCGAGCAACCAGCGTGACTGCGAAACCTGCTCTGTTCAATTCTATTCAACTCTCTGTGTAGTATGTGGTCGATGGTCACTTTTATTGTCTCATAAGTCAATTAGCCTCCTCAGGGGTGCGAGTTAATGGCTTCTGTTCACTGATAAACATCAGACAGCTAGGAGTTGTCACCAAGCAGAGCCCAGCATATTCTCTCAATACAATACGGCAGATTCATATTTAGGTCGACTCTGCATGAGCTCAGTCAGTCGCTGCACACATAAATCAGCTGTGGACCATAGATCAGTTGTGTGGGCTCCAATCACATCGGATTCTAATCGATAGGAACGTGGTGTTGTAAGCCGTTAGACACAGTTATTGCATCGGATCAGAGGAGGTGTGAGGTCAATTGATGATAAAAAACTGTCCCACTGTACAAAGAGCCAGACACGAGGGCAAGGGGTGATTTATGTAATCGACTGGAACAAAATGGTGACTTCTCATTAACATTTTGACAACACTGCACTTTTCAGGTCAGCAACCTCTAACCTGTTTAAAGGTCTGCTGACACAGGTCTGACATTATGTCATCAATGCAACAAATATATAGGCTACAGCACCATATGAATGCGCACCCACACATGTACATGCTGCCACGTATGCACCCTTGCACTGAGATAAGATAACTGAGATGCACAGAGTCAGGTTCATGTACATATTTCCAGCTGTTTTATTTATTCTCGCTTCTTCGTCTGTTTTTTCTCTCCTTACTCTCCATCGATGTGAGGTGAAGTGACCTTTATAAACTCAAACCCTCAGGCTGCGTTGTGGAGCTGTGAAAGGCAAATTCTTACCTCCTGTTTGTATGTACGGCCCATATGCACCTTGGTGTATGCATATCTTACGTGTGTTCTTTATTGCATACTTTATGCAGTTATGTGCATGTTACAAATATGTTTTTGCATGCATTTGTAAGTAAACACCCATTGTGTATTGAATTAGAATTGGAGCACTTGTCTGTTGTCAGGCATTTAAGTTATCTTTCACAGAAGATGCCTCATTTGCTTTTTCCTGCTGTTTCTGTTTATGTAAAGTACCGTACATGCTTGATGTGATGCTTGTCATGACAGACAGTTTTTGTTTATTGCCTGATTTTCATTTTGTCTTGGAGTTTGTGGGTTGACTTTTTTTGCGTGACTGCTTGTGTTTGTGTGTGTGTGTGTGCGTGGATGACATACGCTTTCTCAAGGCAGGCCTCTCTGGACATGTTCTGTACAAAGAGGTTAGATGCCAGGTTGAACAGCTCTTCCGCCCATTCCTGCAGTAGATTAAACACAGGCACACAGAGTCAGGGGCAAACCATTGAGTAATTTGACATGGATAACTGCTGGGGGTGGAAATGTGGTGGTCTGCTACTACTGCCACGTATTAGGAATAAATTAAGACATTATTTCATACATGTGGATATGCTGGATTTGATTTCAGAAAACACACTGTTGTTGGTTTAGTTTATTTTGACATGAAATCTCAAACCTGACCATAACTCAACAGAGATTTATTGCCTTCATCAAAAATCTCCTGACTGAACAGAGAAAAAATGGGAACTTGTTTCAATCTCAATTAACCCCTATTAAAAAAGAAGAAAGTTGACACTTATTATTGTTATGTTTTCATTATTTTAATTCACCTTTGTGTCATTAGAAACAACTGTTATTTCAAGCTTTAATTCTTGCCATATTAACAAATTAATGTTTTTTGTTTTGTCGTTTAACCTTTTGCCTTTTCAGGGAAAGGTTTCATGAACACTGATTGCAAAGACATCAATGGAATACCTCAGTTAAAACAATGAAATTATAAAAGCTGGAGGAATGTGGTTTTCACACTGCAGCAAAACACCTGCAATATACAGTACATACTGCATTTAATGGCTGCTTATTGTTTCTTTATACAAGATAATTATCATTATGATTGTTTTGTTGGAATATTGTAGAATTTTACCTTAGCCGTCTCCTCCTGGAAGGCCATGAAGTTCAGATAGGTGATGTTGACCATGTCAGGGCCGCTCACCACTGTCAGCATCCTGTTCTCCATTTTCCCCGCCAAGGTGCTGACATCCAGTAGCTCCCGCAGCTTGGCTTCCTGAACAATGAAACACGAACGAGACAAAAAAGCGCGTCAACACCAAGATCAAATTGGGCAAACCAATGAAAGTCATCAAGTGAAGGTGTAAGGTGCACTTTCTTCCCCAAATCAGTCCCAGTGATGTCATTCCAGCTTCTAACCCCAGCTGCATACACATTTTAAACCACCACACCTTTACAACAGTGGGCTACAGTTCAGCCAAACGCCACCAGCCCAAATTAAACTTCCATCAGTGGAAAAGTGGAAAAGCAAATGACATAAAACAGGCCATGGAAAAAGACATGGTATGTTTTTTTTTTTTTGAGGAAGTGAGAGACAGTACTGCTCTGTGTCATGGTTTTTTGGTTTGATGTTGCTTTGCAACATAAATCGCCTTCTGAATGCACTGAACTGAAACAAGACCTGCCAGCATTTTGTTGTTTGCACCTTTTCTGAAGGCTGATTTGTTTGAATAATGAGAGGTCAGCTGTCTGAGGCACAGTGTGTGAATGAGCTGAGATGCAACAGCCCCAGTAGATCCGAATGTGACTTGCAGATTCAATATTACAGGCTACAAACGCAGCTAACAGCCGCACTATTATAAGAGACATCTTCAACTAATTAAATGGGCTGGGACTGACTGAAGGATGACACTGGTGAACTTACTGGTACAACAGTATGTAGACAGTTTCAAAGCAAAGAAGAACACAAAATACCTGCAGGGGATTCATGGTGTTATTTACTTTCGGTGACCTCACGACTCTCTCCAAATCCTGAGAGCTTAATACTTTTCAAACCTCGCTTTCCAGCTTGTTTCAGTTTGGAAAACATCCTAGTTGTGAAAGATTGTACTAAGAAGAGCAGCCAATGCACAGCAGACATAACATCACAGGACAAAATGTTTAATTAAAAATCATCAGTGGATTCACTTAGCTGAGGAGATTGCACAAGCATATTGTCAGAAAGGTTTTTAATACATTCTCGAATACTGCAAATTCATGAAAAGAAATTATCTCCACCTTGAGAAATGCTATTTTCAGATTCAGTACAACTTTACTGTAATTCCCTGCAACCTTCATCATCCAATTCAGCAAGTAAACTGAGACTGTAAGAAGTCTGTTGTAACAAGACATTGGGTGCTGGCAACAGCTCAGTTCACACAGAAAAAAACTCTGAAGGATTTGTATTCAGTGGAGGAAATTGTCAGAGGAAATCTAAACCAAACTAATTTTAGCAAATATACATTTAAACTGCTCATCTTTGGTGCAAATCATATAAAAAAACAAACTACAATGCCTCTGAGGTGCAAGACAGGAATAACAATGATCTTTTTCTCTCCTTTGCAGCCCAGTACGCAAGTAGCATACAAAATGGTTGCTCCAGCTTAATTAACACAACAAAAAAGCCCTGTAAAGGATTTTGCAGTGAAAGCAAATGAGCTCCCACTAATTTAACCAATCAAACCAAGAGCATTGTGTCCTGTGTCACGCTGATAAATGTCCTCTACACGTCCCTCACACCCCCCAATCAAATTGTGCAGCTTAGTGGCGCCCATTATTATCACGCTGAACTTTTCTGAGGCAGTACATCTCCGCTCTGACAGCCTTGTCTGTCTGCTTGCCTCTCACATAACCATTCACAGTTTGATGTGGCTGCATGGAGAGCTACTTTCTTCAAAACATATAATTTCCAGAGGAGGATATGACTTGCATGTGGTCTGTGATTTGCAGATGACTCTCACTCAGCAGGTCAGAGTTACACGATCCCGGGCTTGACCACCAATTAATTGAACACAAAGTGCTGATTTGAACGGGAATCCATCACTGTCCACTTAGGTATTCTGAATGCCACCGACCCCATCAATCAAAGCATAAGAAGCTACTTTCAATTTGCTAAAACAACCTATGCCCAAGTACCCTTTGAGGGGTGCTTTGGCAGACTGCCGAAGATGAAAGGCTTCTGAGAACAGATGAGACGACAGTAAGATGCATATTTTATATATTACAGCGCTTGAGCGTCAATACAATTTGAGACTGTTTTGAAACTACTTGTAGCCATTAGCTGAACTCATCTCCTTGTAAGCAGCCAGCGCAGGGCTGATCTAGGAGGGAGCTACAGCCACTCACAGCACAGCGACTGGAGAAACATCAGCAGTTATTGTGGGAAAGGACTTAGTCAAAGAGAAACAAACTGATGTCAGGGAGGCAGACCCTACTGGACAGTAGGAGGGGGAAGGAGGAGAAATGAAAAGAAAGAGAGGTAAAGCAATGAAAAGAGAAGAACAGAAGAGGAGAGGAGTGGGCTCAGCCATGTGAGTGAAATGTAATTTGTGCTGGTGCATTGTGGGAACCATTGGAGGCACGCCTGAGGTCCCAGTTACCACAAAGATGGCTGATTTAGAGCCAAATAGGCTATGGGTGGGGGTTGGATGGTGCGGTTGAAGCAAGAAGATGGTTTTGTGTTTCACAACATACTTCCCTGAGAGACCTAAGCCTCTGTACAACACGTCATGGGCCACTGATGTGAATGTCTACTATTTATAGAATGCATGCGTGTTAATGTGTGTCGTGTATCTTTGTATCCGTGCATGTGAGTGCGTGTGTTTATTCAGGCATACTTGGTGCAGTACCGGAACTATTCTCAGTCACTTAGCATTCAGGTGGAGCTGCAGCCTGAAGAAATAAACAGACTTCCTTTTCCTGCATTAGTTTGTCACAAGGCCCTACCTGTCACCAGCCATGCACTCAAACTGTGTCACACTCTCTTGGGCACAAGGGAAAGGATTCAGATTGGCAAAGGGTAGTCAGCCGAACCTCAGGTCATTAAACCTGCAGCACGGCACCTGTCTAGACTTACACGCGCTCCAGGTCGGACACGCACACAGATACAAATGCACATGCATCCACATGAGAGCACACAAGCCTTAAACTGTACTCAAGTAGGCACACACATATGAATGCACACACAGTCACATGTACACACATGGGGACACCAGATCAAAGGAAATGTCAATATGAATGATTGATGATGACCCAACTACCTACACACATGCCACTCAACTTGCCTTTAATGTATTGCATCACAGGTTCCTATGTGTAAGTAATGTGATATTTTATGTTTTTATGAAGTTTTTCCCTTGAAAAAATATGCTGGTACGGTTGAAATAATTGATGAGGTATCAAGGATAAACTGCTTCAGAGGTCCAGTGTTTAACATTTAGGAGGATCTCAGAAGGGACAAACCAAACACTAGTTTCTCCTTCGTGCTTTGAAGGGGAGGGTGAAGCAAGGGAGTTGCAAAGAGATGCAACTACACCGCATGATGCCACTAAATCCTACACACTGGACCTTTAATAAGTGAACAGTGCCTTATTAAAGGTAGTTGCTGCTGGAGTACAAATTAATGTACCAACTGTCATGAGACACAGTTCACAGCATAGTGCGTAAAGGAAAAAAAAATCAGTTTTGGTATCTTGAGGATGCCTGCACTTTAGTTGACCCTGACAGGCTGTGCAGTTTGTCACAGTTCACGCTTCGCTAAAGCATCTGTACTTGCTAAATGAAAGGATTTTTAAGAAGCACAGAGATTAAGAGGTGATTTTAAGGGGTTTGAGATTTTAGTGGACACAGATATTAAATATTGCATGATTTATTTAAGGTGGCATTTGAAACCTGGTGTAAGAAGTCAGATATTATCATCATCTGCTGTGTATCACCTCATCTGACCTCAGACTTTTACACAGTCCTCATGAATTCCTTATCGCTTAACCTAACAAATCACCCAGTTATGACCCTTTCAATCCCATCACAAGCACAGGTAGCTTAACGTAACCTAACATTAGCGGGAGGGCTTGTAAAGTTACGAATTCGACTTTAACATCAGTATTCAGAGGAGCACATCTTAACGTATGGAGCTATGACACTGCAGAGCAGCACTGCAGGTTACGTGCAGGGGCACCAATTCTTCCACTGCTGGCTAGCCTTGTTAACTAACAGAGCGGCAAGATGCTGCTGGTGGGGCAGTAAAAACGCCTCAGGCATTTGGAAGAGAATTATGGGATATCAAGCTGGGGGTGATGTGCTCATTCTGCCACACAAATACTATGCAGACGCATTGTTTTTTCATTTACATGCACCCATGTGTGGGATGAGATGTGTAGTGGTGGCTGGATAATGATCTGCCTTAAGTCAATTACCCTTATGTCATTTCAATGTTGTGTGAAGGGTTTGTTCAAGTGTGTGCTTTTGTGTGTGTGCGTGCCTATTTGCTGTTACATGTGATTTCTTGTTTATCAGCCAGTATGAGTCACAGAGTCTACAGAGCATTTCACCCACAGCAAAGCTAATCCTAAGACGACTCCCTCTCCTGGCGATGCAGTCATTTATTTAAGAGGGTCATGCTGCATCTGCAGAGCATGTTTTAAACATTAGCCACGTCATAACTTACACAGACAGAAAGCATTGAAACATTGATCCCATTAGGGGAAAGAGCTCCATCTTTCTCGCCAAGCTAAAGCTGTTTCCCGCAAATGACCTTACTAATCATCTTTACGCATACATGCATACATGTGCACACACAGACACACGTGTCCAGTCACAAAAACGCAGGCATCACATTCTTCAAGTATACAGATACACAGTTGCACTCTGCATTTACAAGTAGACACAATTGCCCTGACAATGACATTCTATATGCTGCATGTACTGTAACAGTTAAATGTCAGTTTAATGTAAACATGTACACTACACATACATTTTTAAAATAAAAATAAAATGCAGAAATTAAATTGTAAAATGTTTGGCAGGTAAAATAGCCCCACAGCTGAACGGATTGTAGAAGTGGCATGCAAACACACACACACACAAACAACGAGACATATAAACAAAAAAAACAACAACTTCAATTCTAAAAAAAAACTATAATACTATAATAATACTTCACACCCACTCAGAGACGGAAACTATAGTATGGAGCATTTCTGCTACAGGGGGACACTATGTAGTTCAGCTTTAAAGCTT